AGGGCGCATGATAGAGGCCCATGGTTTTAACGTTAGACCTGGATCATTTCAGATTTCAGGGCTCTCTTTGCCACAGCTCTTCTGCGACCTTTGCTTCGTCTCTCGCAGGTCTTCTGCGAACCTATTGACTTCGGATATGGAGGCCGGGCACATTGGCCCATGCCTGCTAACATCTTTGCAGATGGGTAGCTTTCAAGAGTACAAGCTGCTCTCAACTTGTCGTCGGTAGTGCATGTGGCAGGATGCCGCTACACTCATCTTCAAGGCCAAGTGGGAGTTTGCTCAAACTGTCCTTGCAGCAAAATGCAGGGGAGCTATACAGGACTCGCACTATGATTAGAAGATACTTGCAACAATTCTTCGAACCCTTGTATGATCTGCTACCCAGCAGGCAGCATTCCTACACGCTCTGGGTTGCTGTTACGGAACTTAAGTTAAGTGACTAAAATTGGGAAATCCCATTACTTTTACTGTATCTACTGCATACTCATATCATGACACCTTAATCTAACTCTTTAACAGCAACCCAGCCCCTTGCTGAGGCTTCCTGGCAAGAAACCCTTTGTCCGAGGATGGTCCCAATGCTGAAGGCAGGCATGTCATGTGAGTATGGTTGTGTAAACCACTCATGCTGCCCTCCTGATGCTACCTCCATCGCCCAGCATCACGCGACCCTAATTAATCTGTTACGCAACGCCCCTCCCCCAACATCAAAAGACGCTGATGGTTTGATAATCTTTGGCACTTCTGCCGCTGCACTCCAACAACTTTATTGTTACAGGTGCCTGCGCAAGGTCTCTTAGCAGCCTCCGGACGGCATGGGGTGCTGGCCAATATCGTGCGGCGGGTACTACCGGAAGAGGCCACCTCGCAGGTTGCAGGAGGAGGAGGTTTACTCGATGACAATCCTCCACAGCGCCTGAAGTTGAGGGTTAGTTTAAGCATGTGACATGCATCGTGCCGAAAACTAAGGTATACAAACCCCAACTTGAGCAGCTCCCAAACCAGAACCAATAAGTAAACCAACTGCAGTCTGGGTTTGTGGCAACCTGCTTCAAGAGCCCATGATACGCATGCCTCCAGGCAAATGCCTACCAGGCTAGCAACGGAAAACAAACCAGGAAGCAGTGTCTGTGCTTTCGAAGATCTACTCACTCAAAGGTCCATTTCGAGTCATTAGGTTCCAGGTTCATCCAGGTTCCATACAAGTCCTGATCTGACTGTTTTCAGTCGGTCACTTCATGCGAGCCATCGGACCTCCCTTTATGAATTGGAGGCTTTCCAAACCACATGCGACACTGGGCTCCCTTCAAGAATGCAAGATGAAATACCATATATGCAGGTTCTGAAGAGCGGCCCCCAATGGATCTGAGGGTATAGGAGGAAAAGGAGGCTTCTGAGCGCCGCTTCAAGGAGCGCGTGCCTGGAGAGATACTTATAGAATCCAGAGAAATCCAATGACTTTCTCCCCATGAGGCCCCGGGCTGGGGAACGGAGGAACGTCAGCTCCGGGCTTGGGCAAGTACCTCCGAAACTGGGAATGGATCAGGGTTTAGGGCTGGATACTTGCAGACAGTTCAAGGCTGAAAATCCTAGCAGGAATAATACCGAATCTCAAGCATCCTACTGCCCAGGGTTCAAGCACGAAAGCTGTAGAACTTCATAATTACCTAGTCCTATACATCTAGTTAGATTAAACCCTCAGAAACTTAAAGTCGGGCAGGCTAACTGCTTAGAGCATGTGAGTGTAGCACGCAGATAAGGAAGTCGCCCTTCTCCACCAAATTAAAAGATCCGCTTCACCCCAACAAGATCAGGTCGCCAACATGGCTAGAAAATGACAATGAGCATTATGAGGGGTCGCGGAAGTTCGTTGGGCTGGTCCGTAGAGAGAAAGCTCCAAACATGCAAGAATCCGTGCGGAGGCCCGCAACTAGCCCGATTGCACACTCCTCAAATCCTGAGCCCTATCCTACACCCTGAAACCAGAATTCCCCAAAACTCGCAACCCGGGACTGTCTAATGCCCCGAAAACCATACAACAAGCATGCTTTATTACAGGCCAACAAATGGCATACTTCTTTCCCAGGCCGCAGCCGCGCACTTGCCAAAGGGACCTGGCGGCACCTGAGACAACTATGCTGTTCAGGCTGTTCCCTTTTGGCAGTGTTCGGACTGCTCTTTGGATTCCCTATTCTTAGAATGTATGACTACTAAATGCCATCGCCCTCCTTCTGTTGAATCTTGAAGCCTGAGCCCTTATCCAAAAATGCAACCTAACAACCTTTTCCTTGCAAGGCCCAATTCCAGACACATAGTTGTGCGCATAGAGGTACCTCAGTATCCCTGTAGCCCATGTTAAAGGGACTAGAGGTGCTCCTCTTTTCCGCCTCCCCGGGTTTGCTGCAAGTCCAAGGTCCAGGCAGCTTTGGCGTCGGCCGGCGGAACCTGCCAGTCCTTGCCAACTGCCGCAGGCCTCGGCTGTTAGTTACTTAGTCCATCAAGTCGTTAATGCTTAGGTAATCATCTAGTTGATGATACTTACTTATAGGGATATGTATATATGTATATAGAGTTAATGAGGGGTAAACAGGGTTCTATAGAGGTAAATAGAATCGTAATGGAGAATCATGAGTGAGCTTTCTGGTTTTCGGTGGGGGGGCGGGCGGGGGGGGGGGAGAGGAATCAACAATGAGCATGGAAGCTACCAGGTACCAGTCAAGTTTTAGACTCAGGGAATACCCACGGATATATAGGTTCACATAGGGATATGTAGTTGTACTAGAAAGCCATGTGGAAACGACTACGAACATTGAACATGAAATGAACACTAAGGATATGTGAGTTTAGATGGGATTTCCATGCTACGCAGGCACACTACGAAATAATCGTGCATTTTAACACGTAGTGATAGAGGCTCTAGGATGTAACTGGTTAGAACTTGGGTCTTCCCTTCTCTGGCTTTCAAAACGGAGGGTAGGTCCGGTCCCTTCAAAGGGGTTCCGGCGAGATGCAGTGTTTATCTAAACCCTAAGCCCTAATCCTTTGCCGGGGATCAGAATGATGTATAACATATATATATATATATGTATATATAGGGTTAAGGTAATAAGACCTATGAAATCTCTTTTGCTGCCTGAAAACTAGCAACCACTAGGCTTAAAGCTAACGGACCAAGGAGAACATCTAGTAAGAATACCTCAGCATCACATATCTCTTGTTCACTGATACAACGGGCTCCTTGCTCCTTGGTGCCGTCAGGCCTGACACGTAGACTAATGCAGCTGCACCCCTTCTCGCGCGTGCGCCTTTTCCTTTTCCGAGGTCACCCTCGGCACGCCGCATAGACAGTCGCCTCTCCGAAGCTCATCTCCACCGGAATTCGCGCAGCACCTTGTCTGATGATGCGGTGTCTCAATCCATTTGCAGGCAGTGACTGAAGAGCCTGGGGGTACGGAGGTGCCACAATCCCCCGCACCAGTATCATAAGTTGCAGAAGAAAACAAGAAAAGGTCCAATGTCCTCAACGGCCGACATAGTTTTGCTAGCTGTGCATCTCGGCAAACTTTTTTGGTGACTGGCGCGATATCTGTTTTTGAACTGCTATCGATCTCCTCGCAACACCTCTTTTCATGGGTTTGAATTGGCAATGTTCCAAACAATTCCGAATCTAGGGACATCCTAGCGGCCCTAGCGTACTTCTTTGAAGCGTGACTATCTGTGCCTTTCTTCGGAACACCCTCTCGGAACTTCTTGCGATACTGTTGGCTTCACCATGTGCTGATTGACCACTTTCCCTCTAATTCAAAGATCCATGCTACCTTGCAACGCATGCAGACACTTCTGGCATAATCCCGCGAAACCTCGATGCAGCCCCGCAAGAAACTCGAAAACAGTCCCTCGCGTTCCAAGGAACCGTCGACCAGCAGAGGCGTGAAGCCCGGCGTGGCTTCGGCGAAGTGAGGATCCATAGTTCTCAGCGTGCAGAAGATAAAAATCCAGGTAAAGGTATTGCTTTCAAGATTTGAGGTGTAGATTTTGTGCATGTTTGCATGCCTACAAGGTTGAAGAATATGAGATCTAGATACCTGGCATGTCGTCGTACTCAGCGCCGGACAGAATCCTCGCCCCTGGTCGCAGGCGCGCCGCCCGGGTACGGACCTCCGCCAAAGTCTCCGGCCTTCCAGCAAGCGGTCAAAATGGCAAAAGCGGTAATTCAAAAAAGGTGACGGTATCAAAGAGGGTGATCCTCGTGGAGGTCCACAGTGCACTGCACAGTGGGAACGGGGAGAAAAAGCAGAGTGATGATAGCAAGCAGGTCTTACAAAGCGACGAGTGGCTTCTCCACAGAACAGAGGTGCTGAAAGCTCTGCAGGCGGTGTATAGAAAAATCTAACTGTTTGAGGTTCCGGGGCTAGGGGAGCATATCACTTACTTCCTTGAACTGAAAAGGACGCTTCTGCTTGCGTCCATTGAACGCCCAGGCTGCCATTAAAAGAAAATAACTGACCCAATGCCAGCCGCGAGTTGTCAGCTGTGCTGTTGAAAGCGAATTCCTCTAAGTGTGCGCTAAGAGTGATCTCGATCTTGTTTTGCAGCCCATTGAAGTGAGGCAGCCTCAGGCACAATGAAGCGATCCAAACGATGTCCACATCTTCCTCTCAGGCCGGAGGATTTGCTGCCGGTCTTTGCTGTTGCGATATCTAGATACGGCCCGTTGCTACCCAAGGCAGCAGCAAAGTACAGGCTTTGGCAAAGCTACATTTTGCAGTGCTTCGTTTGCACATGTCAGGCCCATCAACTGCTGGCTTTCTTATCAAGATGCCTTGGATACCATCCCATCTACGAATCCCTGAACAGCCTGCGCTGGAGCAACTAATCTGCGCACCGCCACAGGAAATACACGGCTAGCCGTCGAATCACGGAGAGACTCAATATCCTTTTTCGGCATTCAGCGACTCTTCAAGCTTGCAGATGCAGGGTATGGTGTCACGGGCATCCTCTTCCCATGCCGCATCGGGGCCCAGGAAGCTCTGCATCCGCAGGTCCACAGGAGCAAGCTGCCTCAGATGGGAGCGCGCAAGAATCAAGCCTTGATTGCACAAATCCCATGCACGTTTTCTGACTACTTATTCTTAAAGGCCGGCGGTGAACCCGATGCAAAGCTATGAACCTGCTCACATGTAAGCAGAGTCCGACTCATCCTCAAGGTGTTGCAAGGTCCTGTCACCTGAAGGACCCCCCACGCTTTCCCCCAGATGCCCACAGGCTTGGGTTTCTGGGTACAATTCCGCACGCCAGTGACGTTTCTGTGTGTTGCGGTGCAGCCTGCTCAAGAAAACCATAGGTAGCAGGGGAACTGAAAGCATGCTTACAGAAATCAGAGACATGCAGGGAACTTATGACTAAAGAGGACCTGTGTAATCCTCATCATAACCTTAGTCATGCAATCAAGGCATACATGCCACACTCTGGAAACCCCCAATGCTTGCTGCACACAGGACATCTGCCACCAGGCCACCCGCCAGCCAACTCTGCCACCCTCGCTGCGGAGCGCTCCGCAGCAGCATGGAGGGGCCCAAGGAGCTCGTAGCCTCTACCGAGAGAGCCCAATACCCGTTAGTTAAGGAATATAGCCTAAATGGTACTAGGGTCCCTGATATGATTTAAGCTATGAACCTTAATCCACGGGTATTGGGCTCCCTGGGTACTTACTGGTGAATAGCAGGGTAGGTTTCAAGGGTTGGTGTCAGGGACTCTAAATAGGTTCACGGGTTCAGGAAGGTTCGGAGAGAATGTAAAGAAAATGGTGTGAGAAAGACTGGAAACTGCAGTAACTTTTTGGGGTTCAGGGTGGTTTGTAGGAAATGACAGAACACAAGATAAACGGGGCTACTCCACGGACTATACAGGGACTGCTGCAGGGAGCTACTGCCTGCATGCTGCCAGTAAGTCTGAGACTCTGGCAATATCTGTGATGGTAGCAATATAGTACTCACTACGCTTTGAGCCATTAACAAACTAGGGGTCGTAATGTCACGGTAGGAGTACTGGCAAAAAGGCGAGATACAGAACAATATAAGCAGTCTTTAGATGCTGAGCATTGATCACACAGAGAAAGATGACATGTCCGCCTTTTTGGAACCAAAGGCGCTTAAGCTAACTTCAGCCGCCACTCGTCGAGCGCAAGACAGACCTCGAGTCCCAAGAGAACTCCGTAGATCTAGCTGCTTACAAAACATGTGCAAAATAATGGTTTGAACTCTGAACCCTACGTGTAAAATCCACAGTTTGTACATTTTACTCTATGCCCTACCGGTACATGCTCAACCCTTTTATCTTGAACCCTGGACCTATGTAGGTATACTGACAACTTGTGTTACCCAAACTGAGAACTATAGGAGATATGAAAAGGCAAGGACCTGATCATATGAGCTGTAGTAAAAACTCCTAGTATTCCCTTCAATAACCCCTATAGTAGTCCCCTATATAACCCCTTTGTGGAGTTTAGACTCTAAACCCTAAATCCTAAACCCTAAACCCCCTAAACCCTCAACCCTATATAATCCCTCCTTCAAGGAGTTTAGACCCTAAACCCTATAAAGCGCCCGTTAAGGATATCATATGTCCTACCGAGCCCTGGCCTCGGCAGCAGCGGAGGCCAGGGAAGGCCAAGGCCGCCGCGAGCACCGCGCGGCCGCTGCCGCTGCCAAGGTCCAGGAAGGTCTCTCCTGGGAAAATTTGCGAAATTTGGTGCCTTTAAAGGGATTCTAGGGATATTTGTGCATGGGTTTAGGAAAGTTTAGGAAGGTCTCTCCTTCCAAAGATCTGGTAGGAATAATGATGTTGGTATTAGAAAAATATTTGATGACATGCATTATAGTTTATTGCGCTATAAACAAAATACTATTAAAAACAAATGAAAATCGAATAAACTGTGATATTGATGGTACAAATCCAATATGGATTGATTTGAAATTGGGTCCCTTAAAAGGGATTATATGGATATGTGTATGGGTTTAGGAAGGTCTCCCCAGAAACCTCATCTAAAACGGATAGAGGAAAAGAGCATTGGGATTTTGGGGTTTGGGTGATGTATTGAGTATAAAAGGCTTACGGGCTATATGGAGGGTAGCATGGAAGCCACACAGGGTTTAAGGCGTACGGAAAAAGGAATGGAAAATACATACTGTCATTGAGATTATGTAGGGGCTACTATTGCGATCCATGCCCCCTAACCCCTAAGCCGTAAACCTAAACCCTACTAACAACTAATAGGACAGGTGGGAGCTCTGATTAGGGTCAAAGGCTTTGTTTGGGGTCTCTGTTCTTTCAATATGCCTCATAGGATTCTGTAAGTTACAAGCTTTTTCCGGCCTTTTTTGGGACTGCCTAGGAGGCCAGGCTTATCTGTAAAAGGTCTGCTGTAAGGGATGGTCTCTTCGGCCCTTCCCTCCACACATGGAGGCTTGGGCAACACCAGAGTCAACGCAGATCGGCTACAAGAACTGCAGCAACAAGGGGGAATCAAGGCATATAGTTGCACGGAGGCCCTCCCATCCTGGCTGAGGCTGCGCAACGCGGTTCAGGAGTTGGCAGAAGGGGGCGAACTCCACCTCCGCATACCTGAGCACCGGGACAACATGCAGCTGGCGTAGCTGGAACTGAGAGGGCTCCGTTCAGACACTGAGGGATATTCATTTCCACGTAAGGCCCCGTGGCATCTCACAACAGAGAAGGCTTGGAGGTGAGAATGCTGGTTTGCACAGCGTACAGCCAACTACTCAAAGCTTGTCTTTCTGGACAAACCTTTGAAGCCAGGGTGCGTCAGCTCCAGATTCCGCCCACTGAAGCCTTGTGAGCCTTCGTCCGAAAGCCGCTGGCCATCTATGTCCTCAACGGACTGCATCTGTGATGCTGGAGCATATCAAAGACGGCAAAGCCTGCAAGGCACCCCTGCTGGCAACTGAATTTTATCGCAATCTGTAGCCTGGTATGCACTGTAGAAGGCCGAGTGCGCAAGTCGAAGGTGCTGAGGTAGTAGCCTTTCAGCCAGCACAATCGGTAGCATAGCATTGGGAGAACTACTGCTCTGGTGGTAAACACTATCTGCAGGATGGACGATGCTCAACACCAATGTTCAAGACTGCCCAACCTGAAGTAGCAGCTGGAATGCTCCACACATGAAGTTACCTGCGTCACAAAGAGTGTCACTGGTCTAAATGGGAAAAGGAACGCAGACTCCGGCTCGAAGATCAGCTCCGCAGCGAAAGTCAGGTCGGCAGAGGCCTCTTCATGTCGAATTCACAACATATTATGACAAGAGTAGGAAAATAATTGAGAACAAGGCCACTAGCATCGAGAGTATCTCACAACAGTAAAGCAGCATGCTACTAGTTTTCAACATGGTTGCTATGGCAACGCGTGTCCGGAAGTAATCCTAAGTGAGCATTGGCATTGGCATTTTTGTCCTTCGTAGTAGGGGCGTCGATGCAATACTCCCCTTGCAAATCCTCATGTATCCCCAAGGTGCGGAGGAGCTTTGCTAAGACACACGCTGTATAGTATAGCCCGTGTGCCCGCTGCAGAACCTCCGCAGTAGCGGGGAGGGGCTCGAAGATCACTCCAGCCGCGTGGCTCAAGGGACCCGACTCCTGCAATTTCGCTACTTTATAACGCCTGTTCGTACCAACCCTCGCTTTCAGATCTGCTACGTACAGCTTGTTGCTTCCTCTTACATGTATATATTGCTACTGGATTAATATATGAACGCTGCACTGGCCACATTTCTGTGCAAGGATCCTGGGGCATGATCGCCATGGCATACTCAATCCAAATAAAACGATTCAATCTTGCATAATCAAGGTATCTTTGTGCAAGCTGGAAAGCTATCAGTTCGAGACATAAAAAATACACTTGGCTGGCTTTGGTAGGGCGTCACGTGTAGTCTTTCAGGCTTGCAAAGAATGGTAAAACACATACATTGGAGAGATTACGCGAGCCGAACCCAGCACTCCAACATTCCTAGCACATAATCTCAATGCCAGTTTCACCTGGCGCTGAATTCCGGCCCACAACCGAACCATGCGAAGGCCTGCATGTACAAACTTAACATGATCTCGGCTTCAATCATCCATGCAACAAGCAGCTTTCTGATTCTGGCCTTGGTGTGACTTCTTCAAGGCCTATCAGAGACTTAGCCCTGCACTGGGGTTACAAGACATGCTTCTGGGATGCCTAAGGGACATCGAACCCGTACGATAAACACTACCTCATGTACCATATGATACATGGTGCTACGTACGATTCATCGCTTTAGATGGTCCTGCAAGGGTCGACCTCCCTCACCTGAGAATCTAATACTACCGTCACACCTCCCAAACCCGCTTAAGGATGGAATGTGTTCATCTTGAAGACCTCTCCTGTATTTGGTTGTTTCTCGAAATTATCCAGACCCAAATTCTCCTTGTGGTCCGAGTGAAGCCTTAGAGTCCTAAAGTTCACCCCGAAGAAGCAGCTCCTTTCATAACTCGCTGCCAAGGCTCGGAGGGGGCAGCCTCTCCACAGCCAATCCAGCAAAAGATTTGCGAACTCTGCCGTGACCACCTAAGCAGCAAGTCCACTGCGTAGGGAAAATGGAAGGATGGTGGAAAGCCTAGGGCCTAGGGAGACGTGAGGGCTCTTGGGTTCACCTTTCTTAGTTGCACACACTTGCCTCGGGAAGTGCAAGTCCAAGTCATCATTTTAGGTATGAGGATTTAATTATGTAAGTGTTGAGAGTTTCCGGGCTCCCAGATGGTTAGATCTTTAGGGTGTAGGGCACCGAGATTCCAAATGAGCCCTGTGAAAAAATCCCTTGGTAAACGGCTTTGGGCACAAACATGGCACTTTCCAAAATATTGTTTAGCATCCATTCCTGCAGACACCCCATACCAATACGTGCAAGCCGTGGAGCTTCTGAGCTGAGATGCGGCATCGCCAGCCAGAGGCCGGAGCAGAAACGGGTGACCTCGTCCGAATCTTCTGATGGTGATACTGATAACAAGCGGCATGCGATCATGACGCAGGAGTTTCAGCACGGGCATTACGACGCAAGTGGAGAGAAATTCTACTTAGTCCACTTGTTACTGTTTTCGCCATGCTCAGATTTCGTATGTTGAAAGCTCAAGGGCATTTGCTCAAGATCCTGCCGTCATGGAAGTCATGAGGGCAGAAGGGGATAGCTGCTTCTCTGACTTTCGAGCATGAAGGCTGGAGTCTGTGCTGAGAAGCTTCTGGTAGAGGGATTCGTATTCCGGAAATATGTGCAAGCAAATAATTGAGGAACAGACGTGAACACGTCAAAGCTCGGTGGACTTGCCTGCTTTCCGTGCTTATGCCACCTCACCTTGCAACTTTGAGCACATCAGCAGCCAAGAGTAGCTTAGCCTTTCACAGTAAGCAGTCTGGACAGCAAACTGAGACTGCTAATTCGACATGTGTGTCTTCTCCTCCATCTGACTTTACAACCCAGCGACATGCACTCGAAATCTGGCTGCGAGTCCGCCGGCCAATCTTTGGCCAAGCACACCTGGGATCGTGTCAAGATAGTGATGCATGAAGGGGCCGGCTCCTCATAAGATGTGCCCTGTAATCAATCCTGTGTGCAGGGTAGGAATCGGATCGAAATACGGTTTATACAGGCAGCCAGATGAGGAGGAGGAGGAGCCAAACAGACAATGGTGCTTTTCCGCTTCAATGAGCAGCCACTAGAGTCACTAGAAATGTCAGCCAGGAAAGCACCAATCTGGCGGGATCTGGTGGAGAACTGGGAAAGCCAGAAAGGAAGGTCTTGACTAATTATCTACACATCTGTTGGACCATGCTAGGACGGGATTGGGTACCGTCTTATAGTAGTCCTGAAAAAGGTAGGAGAGCAGGCTGGGCACAGAGAATTCTACATACCATTCTGCCGACTTCGTACGGTTGAGGTCCAAGGAACAAAGACCCCGTGGTTGACAGTCGGCTGGCTGGTAAGAACAACATCCAGGACCAACGAACCTCAACTGGCTGCGACATGGAATGAACATGCAAAGACCTGTCTGTGCTTACATATGCAGATAAGATCATGTCCTGAATGTCTTAGTGCTCTGACCCTAACATTGTGATAGCCAACACCGCATACGTCAGTGGCAGCTGTGTCATCAACACGGCACCCAACTGCAGTCACTTCTCACCCGCGCCAACCAACACTGTTGTTATGTCTTGTTTTGGCTTTTGGAGGCCAATAATTTAGAGGCCTTCTTGTCCTAGATATCAACAGCTCTTGGGTCCCAATGCTGCCTCTCAAAGCATTTCCGCGCTGTGACTGTGTCTTTCCTTCTTGCGTTCTGTCTGCTGACCGGGCGGGTTGTGCTTGGTCTGAAGTATGCGGCGCGCCAACATCATGCCGCTGAACGGCTTCTGTTGCGGTTTTGACCAATACTGGGAACGGTGCCTCAAATTCCCAGGGTCAGCAGCTCCCACTCGACTGACACGTGTCACCGCACGAAGAAGTTTTGGACCAGCTCGTTGAGGCGGGCGTGCGTATCTGAAGGAAGCTCACTGCTACCGGTCCAGCCCCGCAGGTCCACAAAGTACTCCAACTGCCACGCATACTTGTCTCTGGTTGCTTGCTTTTTGCCCGGTAGCCAGGGTGGGCGGAGCAGATGACGTACAGGCTTCTGCCCCACCAGCCCATGCTTGCAGAGAACAGCGACGGGAAAGGCAAACATGCCAGCCAAGCGATCCTCATGCAGAATCGAAGCTAAAAGCAAATCAAAATCTGCGTCTCGGTATGCCTGAGGTCCAAGAACTCCTCCACGCTTCCAAAGGTTAATTGCGTATTGTGTCTGTGAGGTTAAGGAGCAGGCCTTCTCTTGAACGCGCACTAGCCGATGACTCTGCCCAGGAAAAGCCAAGACTGAGTCGACCACGGCCGTGCTGAAAGACTTGCGAAGCTGCAGGCCAATGCCAGCAAAAAGTGTGGTCATGAGAAGGTGGGCCTGCTCTTCTATCATGTTTTTGCAGCCGCATGCTAGCCTAGCATCTACCATGGAAACATGTGGAAAGTCACTGGGCTGTCGGAAGTACATCTCCAGTGTGGACCCCAGATCGGATACCCGCCATGATCGATCTCTCTCTGTACCAACTGAGATACTAAGACATTTCTGTGTCACAAAGTGGCCCGGAACGGCCCACAGCAGCCTTTGGTCCAGTGCGACCAGGATCAGTAGCATTCCTTCATATCCAGCTGTTCTTCTAAATTGATATATCTGATTCTTGGACCCCCTTCCACTGGCACTTTTGAGTTGCAAGCACAGACCGCCTTGGACGGAGTCCTTGGGCTTGAAAAGCGCGTCCATCCGAGATGCACCTGAAACACGAACCACCTCAAACTTCTCCGCCTGCGTCGACAGACGGAAACAGTTGTGGAGCAAACGAAAGGAGTCATCTTCTTTGCGTGCGTTGTTGGCATGTGTGGCAAGACCTCGATCGCGAGCTTCTTGCGGACTTTGCCTGAAAGATGCTTCAGAACCACTCGGAAAATTCAAAGACTTCTTGAGCCTTGCCCCATCATCACAGAGCTCTCGCAGGCGCTCGTCATACGCGTGTGCTGCAATGATTTCTGAATCAAAAAATCCTATGTGAAATGTTTGGCCTTTGAACGAGATGCAAGATCGAAACTTCTGCGCGGACTTGAGCCATGAAACGCCATTGTACGTACTGGTGGCGTAGCACTGTCTGAATTGCCGCCCATTGCCGGGGAATGTGTCGCGCCGGGCATAGAAATGCCCGGTGCAGAGAGAGCGCCACCTGTCGAAAAGCCATCGTTTTGGGGAAGGGACTTCAGCAACGATGCAACAGCCGCAGCGCACATGCATCTAACCC